CAACACTCTTGGTATCACTGTGGCAAAATGCAAAGGAGTTTCAAAATCCGAGTCTAAATACCTCTCATACTTTGATGACGTGTGATAAATTGGAAAGACATGGCAGGAATTCTACTGGAGTCAGTGGTACTAACATTATAGCTCTGATATTTGGAATTGTCATAAACATTCCAATATTTATGACAGCGTTTCTCTTGAATTTTGTATATGATACGAGATATAAAAATTTGGGCATTACCTTAGAAGTCAGTGTCATTGTAAATGCATTTGTAATATGCATTATAATTTTCATATGCAGCCATAAACTGAAAGAAAACTTTAAATACACAAGGAAGCCAATGATAATTCGGGAGTATGCTTTAATTCTAAGTGAAACCGGTATGATGGCATACTTTACTTTTGATCTTTTAGCCACACTCTCTGGATACACACCCACAAAGTTTTCCATTCCTAGTGCCATTTTTGGGATGCTTGAGATATTCTTTCAGACTTGGTTTTTGATCAATTCTCGTCGCTTTATTGTAGAAACGAAGGGATCAAAATTAATATCCTCTTGTGCTATTGCTCTTATTACAACTAATTTGATGTATTGGTTTATTAATTCCTACAACGGACACATATTTACAGAAAATCGCTACATGGGTTACAGCACAAATATGATTGACATAGAAACAATTCTTATACCCCTCATGATATTTTTTTAGATTTTCTTCTGGAATGAGTGCATATACCATCTTCAAGAGATTCAAGTGTCAGTGAAATAATTCATATATGTAACTGAGAAATGTTCAACAAATCTACGAAGTACTATGCTAAATGTGGGAAGAAAAGATTATACACACTATTACGCAGGTATGTTAAGGCAGTACCCAGATCATATTTCGGTAATTTTAGACTTTTTTTCGTAAAATGTAACAACGATAAATCAGAAAAGCCAGAGATAAAACATTTAGTATTATTATCCATTATATAAACGTCATTGAGTCTTAGGCTAAAACAAGCACTCCACTACGACGTCATCACGTGACGTCTATAAATAGAAAAATTGCCTTAATGAAAAAGTGAAAAGTTCAACAGTACCCCGGGGATAATTCATTTCTTCTTGTGAAAATAATTATGTAAAAAGATCACTGGGTCCTGAAAAATGCTGCTAGAATCCTACTCTCCAGACACAGAAATTTTTTTTTCCAAAGTTTCGCTTGAAACCTTACAAAAATTTTTACATTTTGTACATACGATCAAGGAATTGTCATCAATTCATGTTAAGCATACGATTCTAGCAGCACTTTCCAAATACTATAGAAAACAAGTTTTCGATACAAACAAAACTTATGTTTCAAAGTATAAGGCGTAGTGTTGTACTTTTGCATCTTTGTTGTTAGAAAGACAGAGGAAATGCTGATCGGGATTTCAGAACACTGCCTGTGTTCAGTATAAGAAAACATGATAAGAATAAATAAGCGTACCTGATTCTTAATCTTTCATTCCTTATGATTCATACATAACATTCACAGTATATGCTTTAAAACTCCCACTTCACACATTTGTTTACATGAATTCTCGTCACGTTTAATTTTCACTCGGCAAATATTTGATCAATAGTTATGACGTCATGGGTTTGGAATTTAACCCGTGATAAATACTATCTATACCATCAAAAAACGACACGATTTAGTTTATATTATGTTTTTGAATGATTCTATTCATTTCTTTGACCTGAAATTAAACTTAAAATATAGATATTAAGAAATCATTATCTCTAAAGTTCACGTCATACAGCTTACTATGACGTCATATTGTATAGCAAGTAGGAAATCTGGGTGTAGCCTTAACATACCCGCGTACTCTGAAGTTGTTCTTTAGAAGATGCTGGAATTTCATATTAATAATATCCACGTACATTTTGGGAGTCAAGGTCTTTCAACATATTTCAAACTTTTCATGGGCACAAATTGTGCTGTTTATACTTTGTATTAACAAAGTATACTTTTGTTTAAACTTTATAAACTTTGTTTGTACTATAATTAAGAAAATTTTAATCAAAATTTTACTTGAGAAAAAGGAAAAGTATGCTTAGGCTTGGTTGACTTTTAAATGTATTAATGACGTTTCACAAATAAACATTTTTTTTATTCAGATGTCAACTAGACACATGTGTATCCCCGTGAACCTAAAATAAAAGACACATCAGAGAATGCTATATGAGTTTCTTGTTTGGATTTTTTTACTAAATGTACTTTACAATTATTGACGTTGGATGAAGTGTACTCGTAACTTTGCGGACCTGGTCAGGTATTGAATGATCAAGGCCGAAGGTTAGCAAATATCGGATTAGGTTCGTATAGTCACAATAAGATCGAATTCAAACGTCAACAACCGTTTTATTATATGATCAGAATTTTTACAACATTTTCCACACTGGTTCCAACATATAAGACTACTCATTATATAATATGATGTGAATCAAAATATCAATATTATTTTTCAACAGTTTAACAAGGAGGAAATTATGTTTCAGTTTTGAAAATTTTTAATACTCCCAACAACCAAAATTAATTTAAATTACCATATATATAATAAATATGGTAATTTAAATTCATTTAGGTTGTTGGGGAATATATTGGATTCGAAAACTTCACAAAAATCCTTACAAACAAAGATACCTGGCGGATTCAAGTAAATGTTCTACCAAACCTCTTTCTTTACTCCTTACTAAATTATTAACAGCAGTGTATTCGAAAGAGAAACTTCAGACGTACTACACAACAACATATTCGAAAAGTGCTGTAAAACAGATGTGGATACTCGAACATTTCAAGGAACTTTTGGAAAATTTGAAATCACAATTTTTTACCAAAATCAATAACATAAAAACTTACGACTTTATATCTATATACAACCATTCTCCATGATAAATTAAAGTCCAGGCTTTTTGACATCATTGACGGCTGCTTTTTCAACAAAAAAATTAACTCGTAAGTTTACTCACCTTGTCATTTGTCATTTGCAATATTATTTTGGTAGAAAAACATTCTGATTGCATACACAAGTACTTTGAAGTTGATATTAAAAAGATTCTTGAGTTTCTGATTGACAGTATCTATGAGGGTTTTGGATTTTGGAGACCAGGTCTTCCAACAATCTGTTGGAATTTCCATGGATACAAATTGTGCCCCGTTATTAGCAGACCTATTTTTGTATTCATATGAAGCAGAAGTTATTCAAAATCTTATACATGAGAAAAAGGAATAGTGCATATACCATCTACAAGAGATTCAAATGTCAGTGAAGTAATTGATGATGTATGCTCAATGGAATTTTAACTCAGAAATTTCCGTTTCTTGGGATCTAAAAAATGCTTTGCTGAATGTGAAAAAAATATTTGGATTCTACACACTGATGTATGCTCAATGGAATTGTAACTGAGAAATTTTCGTTTCTTGGGATCCAAAAAAAAAAAAATGCTTTGCTGAATGTGAAAAAATATTTGGATTCTACACACTGATATATGCTCAATGGAATTGTAACTCAGAAATTTCCGTTTCTTGGGATCCAAAAAAAAAAATGCTTTGCTGAATGTGAAAAAACATTTGGATTCTACACACTGATATATGCTCAATGGAATTGTAACTCAGAAATTTCCGTTTCTTGGGATAAAAAAAAATGCTTTGCTGAATGTGCAAAAAAAAAAAAAAAAAAAAAAAAAAAATTGGATTCTACACACTAGTACTCTTAAGCTGTTATTTAAAAGATGCTGGGTTCCATAATAATAATAATATCCACATAATTTTTTGGAGTCCAGGTTTTTGAACATATCTCAAACTTCTAATAGGAACAAATTTTGCTGCATTATATTCTGACCTATTTTTGTACTCTAATAAAGCAATTTTTAACAAAAATTTTACTTGAGAAAAAGGAAAAGTTAGCCTTTAATTGACATTTAAATATACTGATGACATTTCATTTATAAACAGTGTTTTTTCATTCATTTGACGACTATATCAATGTATATCCAAATGAATCAATAAAAGATACCTCAGTGAATGCTACTTCAGTTACACTGTACTATGTATGTACTATACAATTATTGACTAAAGGAGGAGAAGGACCTTGAGCTGAAAAAATACTTGTCATTCAATTTTTTTCATATTTTATATATTTCTAATTAAGTATGTCCCACATATCTTAAAGCAGTTATATCATTAGGTTTCTTACCTTATTTTGGAGATATTGATTGACAAATACTATGCCCTACAGTATCTAAGTGGAGTTTTAATTCTCCATGTTTCCGGGCGCATTACTCTGTCCATAATGGGATTTTTTAAGCATACATAAAAAATATCAGAGTGGACATGTATCTTTTAAAATATTTCAGAGTATAACTAGGATTTAAAATTCGAAAAAGCAAGTTTTGTATATCACACTGCATCTGGATAGGGAAAATTGCGCACTTTTTAAGGCAACTTAAACAATAAAAAACGTAATTTACAAAAAATTCTATCATTCAATATTTTTTAATTTACGTTGAAATGCAAATCCTTCAAATTATTGATTAACTGTAAAAGTTTCGAATGATGAAGCTGACCTCATTATTTCACAGGACATCGTTAAAGAGGACACAAGCATGACAAAAACGTGTCATGTTACATTTCTCGAGTACGGGAAAAAACCAACTATGACGTCACACGTAAGCTAAATAAGCGAAATAAGATATACCTACATAAGATTTACATCATCAGCCATGCAAAAATCATTTTTGTGTTCCCCGTTTCTCAAAATATTTCATCATATACTGATTATGACCTGTTTTTACATAATAATACCGCCCCTCTGTTCACCGAGTATGATCTTGCTGTACTAACAGATCGTGTATGACGTCACCGACTTGTTGGACGCGCAGTTTAGGGAAACAGAGGAGTGGATCAGTCTTTTTCATAATTTGTTAATGTTTACAAAATATTAAAACTTTTTAATTTTTTTTATATAAGATGGTGATTAAAGTTAAAAAAATTGTCAAAAAATTATACAAGAACTGATGCTTTACACGTTTTGCACTTATATAAACGGAGACTATGACGTAGTTAAACAGAGTCATGTGACCATGTGTCCTTCAGCCCCTTAAGATAAAGTCTATTTGTAACTATAGGGACCTGGCCCCGTGATCATGAAACATCTTAAGCTTAAGTCAAGATCTTTCAGTTAAATTAAAATGTTGTAGACGTCAAGCAGACCAAAATTAAAATTTTTTTCAATATTGCTTCACAAAAGTGTTGCTATTGGGAAATTTAAAGATTAATTCAATAATTAATAAAAATTTTTACAGCTGATTGAAATCTGACTTAAGTCTAAGTCTGCTTCATGATCCTGGGGCCTGGTTAGGTATTTGTTGACCAAGGCCGTGGGGCGATGTTAGCACGTATCTGACCTGGGCGGTATATTTGTTTGATTAAAGTTTCAATTAGAGAGAATTTATGTTCAATTTTTTCTGATCATGGCGGATCTTACTGTGTCGCTAAATTGTTTACTATGGCGCACGCTTAAAATTTGAATTGTTACTGGGTCGGGTAGAAATTTTACTGTGGCGGGACTGCCACAGTATAACAGATCATTGAGAACCATGGATCAGGAATTTTACAGCATTTTCACACTGAAATTCTGAACAGTTATATTATAACATGTTGTGTAACAAGATATCACATTTATCTTTCAACCGTTTAACAACTATTCAACAAAGTGGAAAAAATCATTATAAATACACAAATAGTATTTATACACAAACAGTCACTAATGAAGATGTTTAATCTCTTCGATAATAATCTCTTTCATTTCTACGTTACGCTACTAACTTACGGTACAATGTTACACATGATATAAAACGCGCAAATTGATTGGTTGATAAAAATGTTGGCAACTAGCAAACTTGTTGATCAAGAGGGAAAACCCGAATAGCCCCCCTGGAACCTCATTTTTAGGGCGAAGTCACACTGAGGTATATATATAAGAAAAAGAGAGTCTTGCCCAATCAGAGAGCATCAAAATTCCTGATAAATTAAAAATCATTAATTGGAATCTAGAAACTGAACGATATTACAAACAGGATGTCAAATGTCAAGATTTAAATGGTCAACTTCGATGAATATATAGCAATATTGTAATATACCAATAATACTGATTTCCAAATCTCAAAGATGATTTGCCTATATAACATGCATTCATAACTTTGCTTTGAAATAGTTTAAAAGTCTGCACTGTGTTAAACATTCTAAAACAATTCCCTATTCACAAATACTTATAAATGTTTTGTCCTTTTACGGACATCTTGAACACTATCAATTCCTCGAATCATATCGGCCGCTTTTTCTGCTATCATTATGGTTGGAGCATTAGTGTTTCCAGACGTAACATGGCGCATGACAGAAGCATCGACTATACGAAGATTTTTTATACCCTTTACTCTGTAAATGTAAACTGCAGTTATGGTATTCAAACTTAAAGAACATTTCATAATAAATCGTTGGCTAAGGAATCTGAATCATTCCAAATATTTTTTATTTATCTTTTCTATGCAAAATAATTTGCTTTTAGGAAATGTAATAGAATTGTAAACCTGAGCTGTGGATCAACAACAGCTGTTTTATCATCAGAGGCTCCCATTCTACATGTAGATGTTGGGTGATACACGGTGTAAGTAAAATACTTGATTCTACAGATCCAGTACTCCTCGGAGGGATATTGAAGTTCGTTACAAGGAGGACAATACTCCTCATAGGGGTCTGATGGTGACGCACCAATGGATCTGAATGCTGTTGTATTTGCTAATTTCAAAATCTGCTGTATTCCTAAATCATAAAAAAAAAATTGACCTGCACTTTTTGCATTTTCTTCAAAGGAAATTCAATAAATTTATGGATGGTTCAAAGGCAGCAAAAAATTTCAATCTGAGAAAAGGGAATTTCAATGAACTAGAAGTACGAGAACCTCAACAAATACTTATTCTGTTATATTTAATTTAAATTCACTTACTTTACTGCTGAACATTTACATGTAAACATGCATTTTGCAAGCCAAAGCAAGGGGTTTAAATTCAGAACGATAATCTGTTTAAAAAAATTGATTTTTCTAGTAATTATGGAAATCGTTTAACAACAGATGACAGAAAAATGAATTTCCACTAAATAAATTACATCTTACAGGGCATCATTGCTGAATATGTTAAAAACAAAATAATGTAAACAGGTCTTTTTTTAATTTTGGAGATATCAATCTCTCCAGCAGAGGGGTATTGAAAGATATTCGAAGAAATTGTAAATATCTTTTTATTTAACGTGTTGAGTAACTGGACCAGTATTTAGAGCAATTATAAAGGGTCCAAAATTTTAAGTCGGTAAATCAACTATGTGTGGGACCGTTCACGGTAGCTCAGTCGGTAGAGCGCTCGCTCCGTGATCGGGAGGTCGTGAGTTCGAATCTCGGCCGCGACAGACCTAAGTCGATAAAAAATGGGTAGCAACTGTTCCTTCGCCACGCGCTCGGCACTTTGAAGTGAAAGTTGCGGGTCCTTCGGATGAGACCTTAAAAACCGAGGCCCCATGTCACGGCAGGCGTTAGCACGATAAAGATCCCTCACTGCTCAATGGCCCTGAGTGCCGAGTAAAGGTCAAACAATTTGAAGCCCTTCACCGGTATATGGTGACGTCTCTATATGAGTGAAAAATTCTCGAATGGGACGTAAAACAACATACAATTAATCAACTATGTGTGGATGTTAAGTAGCTAATGGCTTTTATATACAACAGCTATTTGAGAGGTGCTATAAAAACCAATTTACTTCCTTAAAGTTAATTTAACGATGAATTTAAGGTTCCTAATTTGTTCTTTTTAGACTCTAAGATAATAAGTAGTATAACGTTCAGGAGCTTTAATATTAAATGAAGTTTCACATTCATTCAAGGATTATTGCTTTAAAAAAAAAAGAATGCTTTATAGTTGGTGCTCAGAAACAATAAATCTCACAAATATTCCTTACTGTTGAAATTATGTTTATTCATCATTTAAACAGTTGCAAATATTTTTTTAAAAATAACAACTTAAGCCATGCATATAAAGGTGAAACGAATATTAAGCCGCATAGATTCTAATATTTCATTTCACGAGAAAGTCTACAAAATTATAAAAACGTTGCATAGATTCAAAAGGGAAACTAAAAAAGAAATTGATTTTGAAAATAAAAGAAAGGTACATTTTCTTAATTGATATTATAGAAATTTCATTGCAATAAAAATGGGTCCAATATTATATAAATGTACCAAGGAATGGATCCAAATTTGTTGCATAGCATCAGTTTTAAGAAAGAGAAAAGTGAAAAAGAACAAAATTACCATATAGATATGTATATTGTAAATGTATGAAAAGTATATCATTTACCTTTTAGTAACGTTTTTACGTCATCTGGGTGATCCAAATACTTAGGATCTATCAGTGGTGGATCAAAAGGGTCGGTACTCTGAAGTCGAATGGTTCCTCTACTTTTCGGATGTAGAAGTATACTCTCTCCGAGGAAGGTGCCTACATTATTGCTTATGAATTCTTCACATGCTTTATACACACCTTTCCTTATCTAAAAGATATCAGAATTGAAATTCGTTTATAAACTCAATCATATCAGATATTTCCGTTTGTTTTCCTTTTAAGTCCTATTATCCGCTTTGACGGAATGGTTGATACAGAGTATTACACTTAAGAGCATCATTGTATGTATTTGCCCTATCAAATTTACAAAGTCATGTTAAGATTAAGACGTACGTACATGTCTTAAAATAACATTGTTTTGCATCGCAAACTGAATTATAAAGGTTTTTAAAAGTTGCAGTAGAAATAAGATTGATCAAAAATACTTAACCTTTGGGTTCCAGTTGAGAATTTTTACATACTCATAGGCGACGGAAGGTAACAGAAATACACTGTAAAACGTCAATTGCATGTGTGGAAGCAAGGAATCACCATCTTTAAGAAATACGCTCGACTCTATATGTGTTTTAGCCAAGGGGCCTGTGAAATGTATGAATTATAATACATGTACAAAGAACATTAAAAAATTACGCAGAAAATATTGCTCTTCGTCCTATCATTTTTAAGAAATCAACAAATAATTATATATGAAAACATTCATTTGTTCATGTGTGCAGTCTCATTTAGTTTTGTCAAATGGAACTAATGTTACATAAATTTAAAACCAACATTTTTGTCACCACGGAGCACTCTTATCAAGTAACATCAAAAACCAACTGTTCTTTCAAACAAAGTCTGTGACACCATACCCATTTATTTAAAAAGTTTATATACCACTTTAACCTTAGTTTACTGACGAGTATCAAGATAATTTGTCAATGTATTTAATTTTTTTTTTACTGCTTATCTCTCTTTTCATTAGTTACACAACTGTGAAGCGCTCATCCCTTTCTATGGCATTACTGATTTTAACCATATTTTTACTGATAATTCGTTTCATTGGAGGTCCTTCATCGTCCAATATAGAGTATCTAAAACTCAAAACATTCCTGTGTCACAAACACATCCACGGTTATTTTTTTAAATTTATAATCTGCGTCTTCCACAGCTTTTTCCAACTTTGTTAATTAAGGAAATTTCCCGAGTGCAACACAAAATCGCTTTTCGCTGCTCCGTGACGTAATGCGACGTCATGCGGACTACTCGTCTTCGGCAATTGATTTCTGTTCAACGAAGCAAAAAAAAAAAAAAAATAACATCAAATTTTGGAATATGCAATGATGTAACTATACTACATTTGAGTTCAGTTAGGAGACTATATCTTTCAAAAAATTTAAGTCAATGCTTATATTTACATTTTTACTCCCTGCCTTGTCTGCAAACGTCATTTATTTTTCAAAATTCCTGTATTATTCTTAGAGTAGGTTACAACTGATGGAAGAACCATTGCAAAAGCCACTGCCTTTGAAGTGTTTAATGTGAGCATGAATTTTTATTTTGCTCGTTACTTGCACTTGCACTTCGATTAACGTTTGTGACGTCGAAATAAAAATCATCCTTTAGCTTTTTGATCCCCCCAACAGTGTCATGGTGTTTTGAATGCCATAGTAGCTTTCCACAGAGTTTATAAGCAGATTACATGTGGAATGTAAATATTGTTTGTTTAACTTAAAAATGAACTCACCTGATTTAAACGCAGTGTATTGGAGGAATGATGACGCTGACAAATAAAAAGATGATGTTGTGTTATCCTTGAATAACAAAGTAACCATTATATGATCCTCCAGGTTTTCCCCAACAGGTAAATCAACAATCACAGGTATCTGTTTTCCAGAAAAAAAGACAAAAAAACCTTTAAGCTTTAATGACCTGAAAAGGAGACAGAACGCTACTGCTATTTGATCCTACTTCATGAACTGATGCAATGTTATACATTCTTATAAAGATGGTTCTCCATGACGATGAATTAGATTATTTTGACGTACATGTATATCGTTCTTAATTCCTTATGGATGGCTTTGATTATCATTTGTATATATTTTAGGTGAATTTGAAATATACTGTTATGTCAAGATTGGTTTAAATTTTAACGAATTGATTTAATGCTACATATACCCAAGTTGAACTGTATAACCTGGATTGGGGCAGATAACGCTCAATAAAACACGAAGCAGTTTATTTAAAAAATGCAAACTGCTCCAACCAAGATTATCCAGCAAATTTCTCTACATATAATTTATCAGTTTTCTGTCATAAAGTGCAGTATTATAATAAATTCGTCATTTACTCTTAGACAAGGCTTCAAATTGTACAAAATTGATCTGTAACGTCGGACGGATCGACATGTTTTTGACGCTAGTCAATGTGACATATGCGACACAGCTTTTGCAATATAAACTATATTTTCTGTCTAATCAGATATTGAATTGAATAATAGTTTGCTGTTTTACGTCCCTTGCGAGAATTTTTCACTTCAGATTTTACTATCACGTAACAAGGGCTTTACGTTTAGACCTTCATTCGCAATTAGGTCCATTGAGCAAAGAGAGTTCTTGAATTCCCAAATGCGTATAGTGACACGGCACCATAAGGTATCAGATGCATCCGAAAGAGCTGTGACTTCCACTTCCAATGCTGGGAGCTGGGTTTAAAAACAGTCACTACCTATGTTAAGCTTCTTTAAATTGGTTTGATGTGGCGCCGAGAACGAGAATCGAACTTTCCGATCATGAATCAAGCGCCCTACCACAAGGCTACCACGATCGGTTAATCCAACCAAAAATGAAAATAACTTTTTACAGCCAGAATTAAATTCTATATAAATTAAAATATTTACAATGAAAAATGGAATGTGAATATACTTGTAATATGTAAGTATCTCCTTACTCCTAATGATTTTAGGTGGTCCTTTGGTCCAATACCCGATAACATGAGAATCTGTGGACTATTGAACGCACCAGCAGAAATAATGACTTCTTTCCTCGCCTTTATAATATGTTTTACGTTGTCTCTCACAAGTGAAACTCCCAATGCCTTCTTATTTTCTGTCAAAATCTAAAATGGAGATATATACAAACTCTTTTATCTATACAGCAAAAGGTATTATAGTGTAATTATATTCAAACAATGAGGTATGATATCGTTATTTGCCTTGGTAACATATGAGTTCACAGCCACATGTAGATTTGGGCGGTTCATAGCAGGTCTGAGAAAGGCTTTAGCCGTACTCCATCTCTCTCCGTTTCTAACTGTCTCTTGTGCGTGACAGTAGCCTACATGAATGAAGAGGAATGAAGAGGAAACATACCTGAATTGACCAAAACGAAAATAAGCCTTTTAGAAAGCCTAATTACAGAAGTCTTTTGTGAAAATTAAAACGCAATGTACATCTTTTCATCTAATGGTTTGTAAAATCAAAACAACTTTGCAATTGGAAGGAGTCTGATCATACTAAAGGGCATTTCCCTGTAGGGCAGAAAGTAATACGAAGTATTTCCTTCTGTTTATGTTGTTACTACAGACTAGTGGTTTGATTCACTCATGTCCGACCTATTTGTGACTCTCCATTGCAGTCTACAACAGAGTAACCTAGCTCTTCCATTCCTCGTCTGTACACATCGCTCAGAGGCGTGGCTGTTCCGTCACTTACGGTCAGTGGACCTCCCTTTTTATGGTAGGCTGCACAAGAAATCATTCTTATATTTATTATCATAACAAGCAGGTTTAATTCAACTCATTTTGTTCATTGCATGACGTCTTTGTAGTTGAGGGTAACATTAAAATTTTTCGCCTCAAGAAAACCATTGTCAACCGCGGCGCATCCGAAGATGACTATTGTTTGTGAGGAGTGAACATTTTTAATGTTACCTTCAACAACAAGCAATATCTATTATTTTAATGATTTTTTTTTTATACAAAACATTGAACAGTAAACCAATGCACACATGAATTCTGTGCTGTCACCAATTTTTGGAATATCACCTGTCGTTAAGCAACGTTGACTGTTGCGATGTTCCATCATGCTGGAGGCCGTGATTTCATCATTCAAAGGGTAAAAGCATTTTTTTTTCTTTTTTTAACAAATGTACATGCGTCTCGACGAGTCAGATTCAACTAATTGACACGGAGGTATAATATGAATAAATATCAACGATTGAAACAAAGTGATGTCCCACAAAATTACTCATCCTCACACAAATTGATTTTTTAAGAGAAATGATATGGAAATAGAATTTTACGTGAATTTTGCAATGATGGTATTTGAATATCCTCTGATTTAATAAAATATGGAAGTACATCCTTATAGCTCCATCCATCAGCACCCTCTGTTGCCCATCCATCATAATCATGGCGACTTCCCCTTATGTAATGCATATAGTTTATAGAGCTGGTTCCGCCAAGGACACGCCCTCTCGGCTGGGCGCTTCTCTGTCAAAATTTAAAAGAATTTATATTTTTATCTGCAGGTTTTTACTTACTTTAACGATAGTTTAACTTTACTGCTAAAACAAAGTTGTGTATACGAGGGTTGTCCCAGAAAAACGCGAACTTTTTAAATATAACATAAACTACCTGACTACCTGACCAAAATTATTCAGTTTTTGCATAATGTTGGGAATTGATATTTGCGTCATTTTGACCAAATACTATAAGGTTGTCATATGCATTTAGAAATAGCATTTAAAGGGTGTTAAATATCGGTGGTCGGCGCACGGCAATTTCTTGACTTTCAAAATTAGCATTGTCATCTACGTTTTTCTTTATTACACGGCAATATGGAAATATAATGTGACAAAAATTATGTCCATAGAAACTGTACGATCTAGAGGTACGTTTTGACGTCGTCGACGCCGTCGATGTTGCGCCGTGAGCTATTTTGAATGGTTCGTTTATCAGAGAGAAAAATTTTATTTATTGAGATGAAATATATGGAGATAACGAACAGTATTTAACTGAAATTTTTGTGAATTATATAAAAAATGTTGATTATGGTGCATGTCAATTTTTAACTTTATAATATAAGTGAAACGAAAAATATTGAAAATGATCACGTTTTTGTGGGACAAACCTCGTCTTTTCCTTATATAAATTGTTTTAGAATTAAAGGATAAATCATTAACTCCTAATCAGCTGTCATATTATAAAAATTAGTAGATTTAAATTTCATTTTTTTTTTTTTTTTTTTTTTTTGTATTTAGCAAGTTATGTTATACCTTGATGATTTCATTTCAGGTGAAAGGATATTTTTGTTAGTAAAATAGAACCTTGTTTTCAAAACCAAAACATGCGTTCTTTTGAGGGACAGTCCTAAAAGCCCAATCTTGCTTCGTATTTTGCAAACTACCGGACGCCACAGGTATATGCATCATTTCGTTTTCGTTTTCTGATCCTCCAGCTTCTATAATTAGTACTGATGAACTCAAGTCTTCAGACAGCCTGTTAGCAAGAACACAGCCAGCTGAGCCTGCTCCAACTGCAATATTAACCAGATTCACATTTTGTTTGTTTGCTTCTTTGTTTTTTGACCAAAAATTAGGGAATTTATCTGCCATTTTAGCATTAAACAAGAGGCCCAAGGGCCTTAACTGACAACTGAGTGTAATACAACAAATCAGAGGATCTATAGAGTATAAAATAAACTGATAGATGAAGCTTTGTTGTCCAAAAGCAAGAGAAATAGGATGATCAGGATCAATAAAATATTTAGTCTAGTATTCAGTAACAACTCATAAATTAAATTCTAATCTATCCCCCATTTATCACTACCACCATGCAGACTATTAACAAACTATTAGTTCTTCTGTACCGCTTTTAACCACATATTATGACCTCTCACGTTGGCCTCTCTTGGTCTTTGAAGAACATTTAATTAGAGAAGTTATTTTTGCCTCATTTTTATTCATTTATTATTTACAAGTCTACCTGATCATTAAAAATATTAAAGTACTTTTTGTATTATACAATACCTTTTTTGCCTAATTCTCTTACTCTATTAACTTTCAAATATATTATTTACAGTGATTTATTATCAAAAGTGAATTGCAAAGGGGAATAACTTCTCTCAGTAGAATACAAATTAATAGAGCCCTGACCAGGACCAGAACACTGGTCCTGATGTTCAAATCTGGTAAAAATGTCCTTGCTTATTATTTTTTTTATTCTGTTTTCCTTCGATATGCCCATTAGCAGAGAAAATTTTCAAAGAAATGATGCATTTTCGTTACAAATTTAACACAGCCCTACCCTAACACTAAACCCCATGTCCCAGGGTCATGAAATTCACAAATCTGGTACAGGTACCCTTATCATCATAACTATGCACCTAGTTCAGGATTTTCAAAGAATTAACACATTTTAAGTATATATTATCAATATATCCCCCCCCCCGAGAAACACCAAAACCTGGGACCACAAGTTTTAAAAAAAATGTATTAAGCACAATTGTTCATCATAACTATGCATTTTGTGTATCTGCTCTACACTAAGGAGCAGACAGGATTACATGTATATTTAACAGAAATAATGCATTTTCACTATATTATCAATAGAGCCCCACCCTTACACCAGAGCAACTGACCTAGAAGACAGGAAACTCACAATTCTGGAAGAAGTACTCTTATTCATCATAACTAAACACTTAGTTTCTTTGCTTTATAACCAGGAGCAGAAAAAATATTTTCAAAGAAATTATGCTTTTTCACTATATAATCAATAGACCCCCACCCCCTCAACCCTGGGGCCATAAATTTCACCAGCTTGGAAAAAACATCCTTGCTTATCAAAACCATGCACTTAGTTTGTTTGAATAATACCCAGGAGCAGAAAAGAGGATTTTCAAAGAATTAATGCATTTTCACTATATATAATCAATAGAACCCCGCACTAGCACCAGAGCCCCTGACCCAGGGGCCATGAAATTCACAATTTTGGAAAAGGCATCCTTGTGCATCATACACATGCACTTAGTTTGTTTAAATAATACCAAGAAGCAGAAAAGAAGATTTTCAAAGAATTAATGCATTTTCACTATATATAATCAATAGAGCCCCACCTTAACACCAGAGCCCCTGACCCAGGGGCTATGAAATTCACAAATTTGAAAAAGGCATCATTGCTTATCATAACCATGCACTTAGTTTGTTTAAATAAAACCCTGGAGAAAAGAAGGAGATTTTAACTATATGATCTATATAGCTCCTACCTAGGACTAGAACCCTTAACCCTGGGGTCATGAATTTCATGATTTTGGTAGAGGGCCAAGCGCCTATTACAATCATGCCAACAGGTGACTGCTTGATGTTCAAGAGTAAAGAAGATTTTTAAAGATTACATCAATTTTGGTGGTTTTAGCCCCACCCCTCTGGCCCCAGGGGGCAGGGACCAAGAAATTCACAATTTTTGTTCCCTTCACCCATAGATGGTATATGCTAAAATTGGTTGAAATTGGTTTAGAGGTTCTAGAGAAGAAGTTGAAAATGTTCAAAAGTTAACGCACGACAGACGACGCACGACGACAGACAAAAACGGATAGCAATAGGTCACCTGAGTGACTCAGATGACCTAAAAATATATGTCAGACATTACACGACATAAATATTATCTTGAAAGAAATAGGCTATGATAAGAAATTTTTATTGTATTATATCATACATTTATTTTATAATGCATTTATTTTCATTACATACCTATTATATAGTCGTATGTGCTGTTAAAGACAATGTTTGTTTCTTCACTTGCTTCGTTCTTTACATACATATAGTAGTACACACAAACAGCAAAAAATATCACCAAAAAACTAAGTGACCGATCCATACCTTTAAATAAAAAAAGAAAATAAAGAAAAAGGATTAAATTTTTGATACATGTATTATCTAACGTAAGTATTCGATACTGAATTCTTAGAAAATACGCTCTCTATTTTAGTTTAAATAAGAATGTGTTTGTCACTAATGCATTTATTTGTTTGTTTTAAATAAACTATATTCGTGATATAGTTCTCAAAATCAGATGATTAATTATGGAGGACTAATTGACGGTCAATTAGACCTTTTCGTATGGGTTGCAGAAGCTGAATCATTCATAAATCAACAATACTCAATAATACTCATGTCTCAATTCAATATTTTCCACTTTTTAACAAAACACACATCGACAAACGTTACTTGAATTCAAATATAGATTGCTGTTAGAATTATGGAATTGAAACCCGATCTATAAAATGTTACTTCAAACTCAACATATATAAATAGAACCTGAGAGCTTTTCCAGTACTCGGTGGTCAACTATAGTCAATTCTTCTAGATTTCACAAATTGGGAGTGTTCAACAACGTTCACCTCTTTTCTTGGATAGCATTTTCAAAGTATTAGCAGTGAAAAGCAGTCAACTGACGTTCAACTGACCATTTTATGCAAAATAATTGACAGCTTTAAATAAAAGCAATAAACTCTTAGTGGTCAATTGTATTCAGTTGAAGACTAGATGACGGCCAACAAGACATTTTTGTATGGGTAAACACAGCAGGTAAAATCTTTGTGTCCATGTTAATCATATTGAAATTTACAGTTGTTGATTTGGTGCTAGTTAAGATCCTATATAATTTTATTTAGACAAACTTCTTATCTACATTTCAAATTTGTCCCATATACACCATAGATATCTCGAAGGTCTGTTGAGACAAAATACCTCTGCATAGAAATACGGCTGATTTTATGCTGACATAAAAAGTATTTTTAGCAACACCCAGCATTTGTGTAAAATAAACTTTTTTATCGCTTGAAGTGCATTGGGAACCTCCTTCAATTTACCTTTAAATTACACAAGTCCTCATTACTTACATTACTGAGAAATGCGATAAATTCTTCAAATTAAATTATTTTTAAATCGATATCAAGCTAGTCGTAATCTATATATTTGTACTCTAATGTACGTGTATCTCTGCACTTATCTCTGTAACCTGCCATTTGGCTTTTACAATTAGAACGATTGTAATAACAACGGAAAGTAAGTATCTCATTTACATAACAAGAATAACAGAAAACAATTTTTCTCTGCATGACCACATACCTGAGTATAGTAATGACTGTGAGTAAAGCTTTAGGGAGTTTTTTTCCCTTCAAAATATGCACAACAGTTCCTTGACCTACTATCAAGTAACGTTATCCACTGGGTTTTTTTTTAGTATTGAAGTGTGTTCTACAAACACAGTTATCAGGGTTGACTGCATTTGGTGTAAAACTAGGTTCCGATTTCAAGCAGTCGAAAGGAGGTTTAATTTAAAACATATTCAAAATGAAGAGTTACTTTATTTATTAAATTTTAGCATAAATGTAAAGAATTTTACGTAATAGGGATATCAGACTCAAAACCTCTGATCAAAAGTTAAGTATGATAATGTCTGAATCCCAAAAATTAATTTGAAAAAGTTTCTAAAATACAAAAAAAAAAAAAAAAAAAAAAAAAAAAAAAAAAAAAAAAAAAAATTGAAAACAATACCAGGAAAAGCTTAGCAAAAGGATGCCACTTCAAAAGAAAATTGACCACCACAAATCATGCATTAAAAAGTATGAGAGCTGGGTGGTGCTGGATCTTCAAAATAGACGTCAATCGTATAAACTGTTGTCAGTGTGCAGGTATCAGAATACAACTGACTCATTAGGCTGGCCCTATCCAGTGACACCTTTGTGCAGCAGATATTAAAATATAAGAAAAAGGCGTGGATCCATGAATGTTCAGGATAAAGGAAATTTTTTACACGCAAAATATAATTCTGAAAACTTCTACATAATTTTCAGCATAAATGCATAATTATAATTTGATAATAATTTCTGTTTAAGTCCTCTAAAAGAGAAGCCCACTGCGAGTGGTACTTGCTTAATTTGTTATAATTTACACTTTATCGAAAGATCGGAATCATAAGCTTTCATTTTAAGATACTTTTATGTAATATGATCTAAATCTTTTTTGAAAAAAAAATGTCTAGAGAAAGGCACATATAAAACACAATACATCATGAGAAAAGATGGTTCCTCAAAACCTAATATTCCAGAAATAACCGCACCATCCACGTTGCGTTTGCACACAAAGAATTGATATTCAGATTTGTCAGCAATTCTGTATATTAAACACCGGTCTGTCAATATAAAGTTTGAAAGTAAAGATAAGGAAACAATCACTAGCAAACCAATATAAATCATACTTTAAAAAAAATAAAAAGCTTGTATAAGTCTACTCATTAATATATCAAGGAGAGCAGGTAAAGACTGAAAGCAATGCATAAACAATGATATATTTTGGTAATATCAATTTTTGTCATATGACACACGGTGAGGTAAGGGGTATATGGATTCTCATTGACATGTCTTAATAGATTACATTATACACTGTCATAAAACATTTTAATCTATAACATATTTTACAATAAAATAACAATTTTTACATTAAAATTATTGCAGAAAAAATACATAACCCGCGTAAGCGGGTTACGTAAATTTTTTCTGCAATAGCTGCGACGTTAATTCCCGTACTAACAACCAAAGAAAAACATTTTATTGTTTATATTTATATCTGTATAAATAATCATTTAAAGTAGGATTAAAAACATTAATTATTGTATTATTGATATGTAAGTCATGTATGTTTCGTTGATGGAAGAGCCACTGATTAAGAAATCTGTACAGGCTATATGCCTAGTGTTGTTTACGAACTGATAAACGGCAATAGTTTTCTTTAAAAATCATTGAGAAAATATTCAGTGAATGTAAATACGAGGGGTGATCAAAAAGTTCGCGAACTAATCAATTAACTTCCAAAAAAGATATAAAATTAGATTTCGGTGTTTATTATTTATTAAAGTAGTCCTGTCCAATTTTAATGCACATCTGCCACAGCTCTGCCCATGCGCGAATCACGTGATCTAGGCGGCCTGTTCACAGAGGCTAAAGATTTTTTCGAGTCTTATATTTCTTACCATGCAAGTTATTTCTTGATGCAAGAATAGTCCAATTGTCGCAAATGGCCAAATCTCGGAAATAGGAAGGGTGGATAAGGATATATATTCTCAGAATGAGCATGATGACCATCACAACCCGACTTCTCTGTCTTGGATGCGTCGTTTTTCCATTTTTGGATAAAGTATGGTCGCCTTCTTTTTAACATATCTAATATGTTTAAAGTCTGAAGTAAACGGTATTTTAGGGATTTAATATCTATAATATTCTTAAAATATTCAACTATATTTCAAACTGTAGCTTGGCGATCTTTCATAACAAATTGCTCAACCAAAGACACATCTCTTCCCCAATTTACTTTCACTGGGCACCAGAACAAACATCATTTTTAACTATGAAATATATGGAGATAACGAACAGTATTCAAACTCAAAAGTCCATTAAACATTACAAAATAGGTACATAGCAAACACGGACCTCCAAAACATCAGAGGTGGGATCAGGTGCCATGGAGGAGTGAGCATCCCCTGCCGACCGGTCACACCCGTCGTGTGCTCCTTGTCATGATCAGGAATAACGGAAAAGTCCGTCGACAATTCACCATCTCCCTTCCTTCACTAAAATAATCAATCCAATTCATGATTGAACTTCTGGTAAGTCTTTGTCTTCATAAACCTTATTTCAAAGATATACGTTAAACTTAAAGGTGCTTGGACACAGATTTGAAGTTAATATTTTCTCAAATTTTCTGTAAAATTTCATGACTTATATGTTGCTAGAGCATTTCATACTAAAATATAATAAAAATCTTATTTCATCTCGTAGTTATTGAAACTTCAAATTTCTGAACGCGTTTGATTGACACATCCTTGCACTTTCACAAATTTTAATTTTATTCTTAATACTTAAGAAAAGTGGCGATTTTGTTGTGTATTAATGAAAAATATTAAAACTATAATCCAGAAAATTCACAGTAGAAATGTTCGAAATCAAAACCAACTCAAAGTATTGTCAGTCCGTGCTCAGTGGTGTGTGCAGACTTTAACAATTGAACACACCCGGTGAATCGTAAACATTAACAATAACAGAGCTCGTGCCCTGTTTACAAAAACAGTTTACGTTTCACGGGTGTATTCAATTTGTTAAACTCTGTACACAAAACTGAGCACGGGCTGACGATATTAGTGAAGGGGTTTGCTTTCGCACATTTCTACTCTGAATTTTCTGGATTATAGATGTAATGTTTTTCATTAATACACAACAAAATCGCTTCTTTTCTTAAATGTTAGGGATAAAGATAAAATTTGTGAAAGTGCAAGGATGTGTAAATCAAACGCGTCCAGGAATTCGTAGTTCCAATAATTTCCAGATAAAATAAGTTTTTAATTATTTTTTCGTGTGAAATGCTATTGCAATATATAAGTCGTGATATTATACAGAAAATCTGAGAAAATATTAACTTCAAATCTGTGTCTAAGCACCTTTAACAATCTTTTATTTGCTCTAGTACGACTAAGTCAGCCATTTTTTGTCTCAAGTCATCTACATATTGACGTCATTTTCATATTGTGACGTCACAAACATGGCGCAAAACATTAGGTAACATCTGCTATTTATAGAACATGTTAATGACTATTTGTGTGTCAAATTTCATTCTGATCAGAATAGCGGTTTTGTAAATATAGAGATAGCTTGCGAACTTTTTGATCACCCCTCGTATACAGCAATAACTCAAAGCAAAACTATTATTTATTCCAAATTGGCAAAAAGATTAACAAGTATTATATTATAACTAGATAGCTGCGGTTAAATACTGACCAATATTTGAACTTCACACGTGACCTTACTGTTAATATCAAAACCTGAAACTATTTAGTCTACTTTTTCAACTCAATACATTTGAACGCTAATGCCCAAACGTTAATTTTATAATATTCTTAATGTGCAATATGAACGGCCACACATATATTTAAACTGACTTTTTCATATTACTTGGGATCCAGATTAGTTTTAAAATCTTAGAACTGATATACGATAGAGAGAAGTGCTGTCTACGAAATTAGAGAAATGATCTGCTAATTTAAGTGAGGAAAGATTATATATTTAAAGCAAATTGATATTGGGTTCTCATGATTTATCCAGATCATTACATACAGAAGGAAGTGTTCTGTGACATGACAACTGATTGATTGATTGTTTGTTGTTTTACGTCCCATTCGAGAACTTTTCACTCATATAGAGACGTCACCATATACCGGTGAAGGGCTTCAAATTTTGACCTTTACTCGGCACTCAGGACTATTGAGCAGTGAGGGATCTTTATTGTGCCAACGCCTGCCGTGACACGGGGCCTCGGTTTTTAAGGTATCATCTGAAAGACCCGTAACTTTCACTTGAAAGTGCTGAGCGCATGGCGAAGGAACAGTTGCTACCTATTTTTTATCGACTTAGGTCAGTCGCGGTTGAGATTCGAACTCACGACCTTCCGATCACGGAGCTAGCGCTCTACCGACTGAGCTACCGTGAACGGTCAACATGACTACTAAAGAGAAAAGGATTACAGTTTTTTCTGGCAATTTCTCTGAATGGATTAACTACTTCTTTGGCATTTGTTATCAAATATAAGAACAATGCACATGGGTATGAAACATTGCACATTGAGTATGAAAATAAACTTTAAAAAATAAAAACTAACAATACAAACTAAGACGCTATAGCACGAGTTGGCAGCAATGATTATTGAAAAGTATATACTTCAAAAATGTATGTAAGATTTATAAATGAACTGTAATTGTGTTCATAAATGTAAGGTCGGTAAAGTTTTTGTCATGCGGCAAAAAAAGTAACCTAACTCTTCTATTTATGTTTCTCTTTTTTTTAAAGTATTACATACAGCCTGATGACATATTGAAACAACAGTCAATATACCTAAAGGATTACGGATATAAATTTCTATTGAAGACGTCCTGTTTTTCCAGATTTAAATACACTTGTGAAGTGACGATACTTTTGAATTAACCCTTGATCATGTACAAGTGTATTAAACAGTCACAAAGCATTATGACGTGTTTTAAAATGAGGTGTGGTACAATTTCATCCTGTCATCAATGCCAAATTTACATCATTTATATTTTTCATTTTTAGAAAAAGGAGGAAGAGGAAACAAATACTAGGTAGAGTTATGAGG